TACCCTTCAAATCCCATACCATCACCTTTTCCCTCTACAAGTACTAGACAACTACTGACCCAAAGTCACTTTCATCACTCCTCAAAGACCTTAGCTTCTGGATCATTGTCACTCACTGCAATGCCATTCCTGAATAATTGTTGACTTGAGTATTTTCTTATATCATTGGTTCTTAATATTTGTATTTGTGTATGTGCCCTGAATCCCTCTGGAGGTCTAGGAGAGAAGCCACTGATAAATTCAATTATTGGTCTTCAGTCTACTCTTATTTTGACTCAGCAGCATATTTCCCTTTAAATATTTCTATTAGCTTTTAGGATATTTGCCTGGTTTTTCCTCAGCCTTCTTGCTCCACTGTTCTTAGATGTCCCCTCCACATCTTTTTGATCTCCCTAACCTCTTGGAGCACCCAAAGGCTCAGTCCTTAGACCTCTAATTTATTCTATATATACTATCTCAAAGCAAGTTCATATTACCTCCTGGCTTTAAATGCCATATATATAGATAGATACAGATACAGACACATAGATAGATGATTCCCAAAATAAGTTCACAACTCACATCTCTCTCCTAAACTCCAGGCTTGCATATCCAGCATCCTATATAGTATCTCAAGTTCAACATGTGAAATTATGATATATAAAACCCCCCAACCTAGTACCCCTACAGCTTTCCATCTCAATTAATGCCTACATCTTTCTCATCTCATTGATGGCTGCTATTAATATATTCTAGTTGCTCAGGCCCCAAGCTTGGAATCATCACTGATTCTTTCCTTACTGTGTTCTCTAAAGCCTAACATCTGCCCCCAGTTCTCTTTCTAACTTCACCTTCCATTACTCTTGCTCTCTCTCACTTAGCTCTAGCCATGGTAATCTTGGTGTTCCTCAAACACTCTCAAATCAGACCTTTGTATTTAAAGATTTCCACCTGGAAATCTTATCCCTCAGATGTCATCATTCCTTTTCTTATTCCTTTTAAGGTCTTAAGTAAATATTTTTTCTACCTTAGAACTTATCACTATCCAACATATTGATTCTTTCTTACTTAATTGTGCATCTCCTCCACTAGAATGCAAGCTATATGATTACATGGATTCTTGTTTTGCTTCCTGTTGTACTCCTATCACCTAGAACAGTGCCTCTTACATGATAAGTACTTATAATCATTTGATGAATGGATGAATTGATAATGAAAAATGTAGAGGCAACTGTGAATATAACTAAATGAACAGAAAGTCTAATGCGGTTGTTAGTCTTTTCTAACTGTGTGTATAGTATTTAGTATGTTAGAGAGATAAAAGAAAATAATTTTTCATGAAGTAAGAACAAAATACGAAGAAAGAAACAATCTGGAAAAGATCTGTTAAAAATAAGAAATATGACTGCTATAATTTTTAAATAAATTAAAGAAAAAGAAAGCAAAAGTGGGAAAATTTCATAAACCTTAGAACAAAAATGAAAAAAAAGGGGGGGGGTAGAAAAAGGAGAACCAATTACAGAATGGGATGGTGGGGGACAAGGAGAGAAAGTTACTAAGAAATTTTTTTTTATATACCTCTCAGTTGAAGGAGAGTCTTTAAATTGAAAGTGCTTATCAAATACAAAGTCGGAGTAAGGACAGAAGACACACAGCTTACCACATTATTATACAATTCCTGAAACAAAGAGGATAAAAAGAAAAGCACACCATTTTGAAGAAAGAAAAATTTTTAAAGAAAAGAACAAGAAGCAGACTTTTATCTGCCACCAAAATAAATCAGTGCTAATTTTTTAGACCTTTAAATCTTTTCCTAAGATATAAAACCACAGAGATAAGTTTGATACCTCATATTTCCCTTTTCCAATTCTACCATCCATGGTCCTAAAGGAAAACTATTTTTGAACCTAGAATTCTATATATAGCTAAATTATTAACAAAACAAGAGGGCAACATAAAGTCACTTTGAAACAGGCAAAGACTCAGAAATTTTACTTCTCAGGCACCTTTTCTGAGATAATTACTTAACAATGTTCTCCAACAAAACAAGTATGCAAATTCTGTAAACAAAAAGAAAATGTGGAACTAACCTAGGAAAAAAGAAACCCCAAGATCTTGAGCTATTACTAGCTTAAGAAACTGATTAACCCATATACTCCAAGAAAAATGCCTCCAGAGAAGAATGGAATATATTTCAAGCAATAGATACAAGGGCTAAGGAAATGGATGAGTGGTATAAGCACTGTAAAATTGAAATTATGGGTAAGGAAATATGATTAGAAAGCACCAATAATCTCCACATTGAAAACTATTTTATATAGAACAATTAAAAACAAAATTTGTTAGAAAGGACCTTAGAAAAATGGGATTTTAGAAAAACTTATTTATATATTCCATTTGATTAAAAATGTAACATGATATAGGGCTTCCCTGCTGGGTTAGATGGTAAAGAATCCGCCTGCAAAGCAGGAGACTCAGGTTCAACCTCTGGGTTGGGAAGATCCCCTGGAGAACAGAATGGCTACCCACTTCAGGATTTTTGCCTGGAGAATTCCATGGACAGAGGAAGCCTGGCAGGCTACAGTCTATGGGGTCACAGAGTTGGACACATTTTAAAAATAACATGATGTAAAATAAGAATAAACGTGACAATTACTAAAACTGGCGAATAAAAGTGTGATGAGGAAGGATATTTTACATAGTATCTGCTCACAAATTCCTTATTAGTTGCCAAAGAGAAATGGAAACTTCAGTTATAAACCTGGTAGACCACCCCTAAATCAAGAAATCAAAGTGAATCAACACCACACAGTTTCAATAGGAAGCAAAGTAAAACAGGTGCTAAAAGTGAAAGTGAAAGTCGCTCAGTCAGGTCCGACTCTTTACGACCCCTACAGTCCACGGAATTCTCCAGGGCAGAATACTGGAGTGGGTAGCCATTCCCTTCTCCAGGGGATCTTCCAACCCAGGGGTCAAACCCAGGTCTCCCGCATTGCAGGCAGATTCTTTACCAGCTGAGCCACAAGGGAAGCCCAAAACAGGTGCTAATGAATAGGAAAAAAAAGAGAACGAGAGACACAGAAAGTTTCAATGAGGATGAAAAATGGATGAGTGACACTCTGCTATTCCCTTAAGTACAGATTCCCTTTAGAACCTTCTTCTCACCTTTGCCTTATCAACGTCTTTCACCATTCCATCAGCAGTCACTTATATCAGCAATTCTCAAATTATTTGTTTCCAGAATAAAATTCTTTTCTAAATTTCAAAGCTATATTTTCCAAAAGCCAACTAGAATCTTTAACCTTTATTTCTTCAGATTCTTCACATTTACTATATCAAAATCATTATCTTCATCTTCCTTTAAAATCCAGCATTCCACTATCATGACTTTTCTCTATTAGTAAAATTCATATACAGCCCCATCCAAAAGTGAAATCTCAATCATCTTCAATTACTTTCTCTCCTCCATTTCACATCCAGTTCGATGATATTTCAATTTTTAAAAATATTATTAAATATCCACTATGTACTATATGCTAGGGAAGAAAAATCAATAAGACACAAATCCTATAAATTTTCTCCCCCAGATGAGGTTCAAATTCATTCTATCTGCTCCATTCCCAGTGCCATAGTCTTGGTATAGACCTTCATTATCTCCTATACAATCTAACTCATCTTCATATCTCCACTCACTCCTCTTCCCTCAACTTTCACAATGGAATTAGCTTTTTTCCTAAATCTCAGATATGTTCATTTGACCACCATGTTAAAATGATCAATGGCATAATTAATGTTAATGCCAAATTTAAAGAGCTTGGTTAATGACTAAGAACAGTATTTTTCTATCATATTTAACAGCAAATATCATGTTTTAAAATATTTTAGATAATTTATTCAAAAAGAGGAATCTCTTTTGTATATAAAGTTTAAAGTTGTTTAGAGACAAAGAAACTAGTGATGAATATATTCAATGTGTCTATATTATAGGAATTAACCCAAATATTAAAATCTAAGTAATCATTTTGACTTATTAACATTACAGAAAATTGACATTTGAGCAAATTCTTATATATACCTATAGCAAAAATTTTTCTCCACTATGTAGTTCTTAATACTTCTTTGAAATTTAAAACCTATCTAAACTCAACTCCATACACTTTTTTATACTGAAATAAGATTGAGGATATGGATATGATAGAATAAGGGAAAAAAACAGCTTCTGAAAATGTGAGTTGAGCATCAAAATGTCTGTACTCTTTTAAACCAATAAAGCTTTAACAGAACATCTACACTAGCCTGAAAAGCAGTAGATGAAGTGTGAAATATAGGAAGTAGAAATGGAAGAATGTCTTTGTTCTACAATCATTACTATGTGCAACCTTGAACTGTGTATTTACCATTAGACTAGAATGGACTTAAATGCCCAGCATAGAACCTATACTCTTGAAATCCAGTTTCAGGATAAAATAAGATTATCAATTATCAGATAAATGTAGGAAAAAAATATTTTCTAAAGAGACATTGATTGATACATAAGATTTTGCTTCAAGGACTTATAAACTTAAATAGGTCATAAGTAATTTTAAGTTATGTTGATTACCAGAGAAAGACACGAAAGAAACTTAAAGAGGTAATCAGTGTCATGGTTTCCTGCATAATACAAATACATACATACACACAATACGCTTAAGTTCCTCATCAATGACTGAGTTTTGTCTATGCATTAAGCATATAGTATTTGATCAGAAAAATATAACTCTAAAAGGAAATGAGAGGTTTCATTCACTCCTCTACTAATAATACAGGGTTTTAAAAATTGTTCCTACTTTGAAAGTTCAATGCAAACATTATGAAAAAGATTATCAAAAGCAAAGGCAATAGAAATAACAAAAGTTTTAGAATGTTTCCTTCCCTAGATAAACCATATAAATATATTTGTGTATATTATTAATCTGAGAAAAGACATTTACATTGTGAATTTATTTCCCCATCAGAAATTTAAAATTATAACATCTACTTACCAACCCAACACAATTGCTTAAAGCCACTTTAGTTGTACTACGTTGATCTTGCAAGTATCCTGTGTAATGACAGTTGTCTAAAAAATCATGCTTCCACTGGGGTCCATCTTTTCCCCAATATTCTACTGTAAAATGTTTGGACACAAAATCTGTGTTGAGAGTCAAGTTTAGGTGAAAGTGCTTGCCATAGGCTGAAAGTTTAAAAAATAACTTAGATACTGCCTGTTGTGGATCAATAGGGTCCATACTCCGTCTTCTCCTGGAGTGTTTATCATTTTTCACAGTAAAGCTGAGAAAAGCTCCATTTTGATCAACTCTTATTGGAATAGTTAGCTGGTAGTGTTCTAGATAAGTCAGGAATTCCTCTTTGTAATCACAAGGCAGAAAATCCAGAAAAAACACATGGAAGAAAAGAAAATTTAACAGATCAAAGAAGTAGCAGTATAAGCACCTATATTCCTTAAAACTATGCATCATTATATGTGAAGTATGGGAAAACATATTAAGCAAAAATGAAAAAGCAAAAGTTTAAAATCTCAAGATGAATTAAGTTCCAAATATTCCATTCCTTAAAAAAGTATTTTAAAGTTTTTTGAAAGGCGCTTTTTTTAAAATTTAATTTGAAAACATGAATTCTAAGAACTAAATTCTATAATACATAAGAATATTGGTAAAAGTACACATATGAAAAACAAAAGAATTTCATTCAGATAAAATGTTATGAAAGTTACCCAAAAGAGTACACAGAATCTCTACAATCTTGTCGAACTTTTTAAAAAAATTATCAGTCACAATGTAAAATACAGCAACCACTTTGGAAAACAGCCTGGCAGTTCCTCAAAAAGTTAACCATAGAACGACCATCTGACCCAGCAATTTCACTCTCAGGTATTTTTACAAGAGAAATTAAAACATACATCCACACAAAAACTTGCACAAAAATGTTCACAGCAGCATTATTCATAATAACTAAAAGTGGTAAATAACCCAAATGTCCATCAATTGATAAATGAATGAATGGATGAATAATATGTGATGTATTCATACAGCAAATTATTGTAGAATAAAAAGGAATACTAAAACATGTTATGACATGAATGAATCTTCATAACAGCCTTCATAATCAAAGTTCATTATCTAATACTATAAAAACACTAGGCTAAATGAAAAGAACCAGTCACATATGATCCATTTATATAAAATATACAGAACAGGAAAACCTCTATGTGACAAAAACAGACCAGAGGTTGCCTAGGACTGGGGATAAGGTGGTTTGGAGAGAAGTGGGGAGTGACCGTTAATGAGTTCAGAGTTTCTTTTGGGGTTGATAAAAATGTTCTAAATTTGATTGTGATGATAGTTGTACGACTCTGTGAGTAACTATAAACCAAGAAATTGTATACTTTAAATGGGTGATTATATGGTATGTATATTACAGTACAGCTGTTTAAAAATTATTAGATCGATATAAAATTCAGAAGACTATTAAATATACTTCCCTCACTTAGATGCACTAAATATTACCAATTTACCTTCTTAACCATATCTTCTTTTAGCTAAGTTTATCACTAAGGCAGAACCAAATGTCTGCACACTGCTTCACTGTCTAAATATGAAGTTCATCCACAAATATAAACTCCCATGAAACCATGACCAAATGGAAAAAAATTTAAAAATAATACTTATTTCACTTATAAATAACAGTTTATATTAAATGCTATGGCTTTGTTGATTTGAGAGCCACATTTTGTACATATGGACTTCTTAGATATATATATCAATCCATAATGGTCCTGAAAATATGGCTTATCAGGACAAAAAAAAAAAGATCTGTTACTATACATTCATGGGAGGACAATTCAAAAAGGTATGCTTTCAATAACTCTTTAAGAATTGGACTGGTCTGTGGAAAACAAAATGATCTTCATTCCTAGGACCTCTGGTAACATCTTTTCTATGACAAAAAGTTCAATTTTATGGACTAAAATTATGGGCTTCCCTTGTGGTTCCATTGGTTAAGAATCCACCTGCAATGCGGGAGACCTGGCTTTAATCCCTGGGTTGGGAAGATCCCCTGTGGAAGGGAAAGGCTACCCACTTCAGTATCCTGGCCTAGAGAATTCCATGGACTGTATAGACCACGGTGTCGCAAAGAGTCTGACACAACTGAGCGACTTTCAAACATGGATTAGAACTTGACAAGTTGAACTTCTTCTAATTCTTTTATCTAGCTTCTAGTCCTTAGATCAGAATTCTTAAGTTTGGAAACACATTTTTATATTAAGGGTCCACAAGGATCTTATGTCAGAATTTGGTTTCTATTCTTCTATAGCAATAACTTTTGGATTCCTTTTGAACATGATCTTTACTGTAAACCCTGACAATGAGTATATTAATAAAGTTAAGAATCAGAAGAAGAGGCCAGGGTCTTCTGAGGAAGACCAGTCAACTCTAAAATGCACTAGATGTTAAATACTAGTAGGAAAAGTTAAAAGACTATTATAGTCATTAACATTTCTGAAACTAGCATTGAATTGACACAGTAGGTCTCTGCTCCTACCATTATACATCTCAAAGAAAATGTTCATTCAACTAAATATTCAGAATCTTTCCTTGTTAGATTAATAGCAATATTGTTTTGTCAGTTTCAAAAGCAGGAATCCTACCTTGAGAACTGTATGAAAGCCTGTAGTCACTATGAAATTCCGATGAAGCCATGACGAGGCTCAAAATCCAGGTCAACGTCTTCCACAAAATTTCCATAATTTAGAAAACTGGATGATTTTTTAGAGGGCTACCTATGTTCTAGAGAGTCAATACCATACCAAAATCGAAGCATAACAATTTTGTTTCTTTACAACTTCTTGCAGATTAGTTATTAGATGTTCCACTATTTAGCAGGTATTTTTTCCCAACATCTCGTACTTGCTTCAATATTTGGATTCATCTTCTCAATCCAAAATGAAAAAAAGAATGATGGAAATTTTCATAAGCAGGGCATTAGGCTGAATAGTCACTAAAGTATGGCCATTTTTTAACCTACAAAAAAAAAAATTAAGGTTAATTGATAAACATTCTGAATGGACAGATCAATACTGCAGAATGCTTGCCAAAGGACATATACTACAAAATTACATAATTAAATCAGACCACTGTTGTCCTTCATAGTGTAAATAAACATTCACAAGACTAAGTACCAAACTGGAAACCTAAATGTTTAGAAGGATAATACCAAAGCTACTTAATAATCAAAGAAGGAACCTAAAGAGGATCATAAAAATTCTCTTCTTAAAACTTTGAAAATAACAATGTATAGTGACTAACCTTTTGATATAAACCAGGCTGACTTCACAAAGTTCATTTTATGAAAGTGATAAACAGTATGTGACTGTATTCTTTAACATTTAGTATACCTCTATCTAGAGTTTGATTTGTTGACTATCATTTTTTTCTTAGAGAGTAGATCTACAAATACACAGTGGTATTAAGCAGCTATTTGTGAAAATTCAGACAGTAGCATAAATTAAACTTCTGAAAAGCTGAAGCATATTTACTGTAACCCTTGACTTTATCTGAAAATCTTTTGACTCATAAAGCAACACATATGAGACAATTTATCTAGAATATAAGTATAAAGAAAAGTAATTTGTTTTCTGAAAAGAATTTTTAAAAATTCAGTTCAGGTAACACAACAGATTTCATGTCCTATCTCATGTACTTTTCTTCTGACTTAACAACTTCACTCAGAGGCCATGATTTCACATTTTACACAGAACACTGGCGTAATTGGCTACCTGAGTTTCTAGCACACAGCACTTTAGAATAAGGAAACAAAAAAAGGACTAAAAAGTAGCTCAGTAAAGACAACAAAAGTTAACCAAAAAAAGAGGAAAAACCAAAAAGTAGCTTTAGAAACCCAAAGTAATCCATTGAAGGTAGAGACAAATGGTCCTTACAAAGCTTAACAGTTCATATTGTGTATATGACTGTGTTATAGCTAAATATCTGATATTCAAAAGGTTAACTGTAAAATTAACTTATTTGGAATATTTCATCCCCTATAGTGCTAGAAATATTGGCTATTACAATGTATAAAAAACCCACAATCATTTCAAGTTTCTTAAGTCTGTGTCTATAAATTATTAAATTGATAAACCTTGAAAAACTAATTCAACCAATCAACAACTGTTGTCTTACATGTTTTAAAAATGATGCTATAACAACATGGAGATAAGAAAAGATTAAGACACAATCTTTAGGCAATCATAACCTAAGAAAAAAGAAAAAAATCATGACAGACTGACATATGCCATAATAAACTTACAAAAGTATTTATAAGAGATCAGATGAAGGGGATGACTTATGAGTCAAAGAAAGATAGGTGAAGGAAATGTTATGAAAAAAAAATAACATTTGAGATACACCCTGGAAGATGAACAGAATTTGACAAGTCAAGTTTCTGGGGGCAATCATTACAAATTAAAGAAACAGATTCCACAAAGTATAGATGGCAAGAAAAAATGGAAAATATTATTAGTAATGATAGTAAGTTTGGTTCCTATGCAGAAGACAGGTATTATTTAGAAAGGTAGTTTAAGGTCAGGTCTAAAAACAAAGAGAACTTTAAATATATGTTACTCCTTTTAATATTCATTACAATCTTATAAAGTAGGTATTATTGCCCCTGTGTGAGGAATAGCCCCAGTGATCCTGCCTCCTAATACCCATGCCATTTTGTAACCTCCTTCCTTGATTCTAACTAATATAACACCTCAACAGTGAGAGGATGTCACTTCCATGATTAGATTACAAAAGATTCTGACTTCCATCTTAATGGTAGACTCCCTTACTGGACTTTAATGAAACAAGTTGCCATATGGATAGGCTCACATGGCAAGGAACTGAGAGCAGCCTTCAGATAATCACTGGTTAAGAAATGCAGCCCTCAATGCTATTGCTTGCAAGGAACTAAATCTTAAATATGTGAGCGTATAAGCTTATCCCTCCCCACTCAGGTGTTCGCTGGTGCCCTTAGTCCTTGCCAACACTTTAACTATAGCCTCTTGAGAGACTCTGAAGCACAAGACAGAGGAAGCCATGCTCAGGCTCCTGACTCACAGATACTGTTAATAAATGTGTGTTCTCTAAGCTGCTAAATTTATGGTGATAATTTTTGCACCAACTGATAACTAATACAGCTGCTAATTTACAGATAAAGAAGTTGAAGCTCATAGTGGCCACATAACTCGAAAACAGCAGGGCACCGAGTCATATATAAGATTATCTGGCTTTAAAGTCTAAATTCTTTCTATTATATCACATTTCCACTTTAAATTATTCTAACTTAATATTCAATAGCAATTGCATATGACCAGTATCAAAGTAAATATTCATAAGTGATGTTAATTAACATGAAATTTTAAGCAACTTGATACACAATAACTGTTTTATCTCAAAATTTCTTCTACAGTAATTTAGGCAAAACAACAGGCACTATATATTCTTTCCAGGCAAAAATCTATAAAGAGATTAAATTACACCATCATTCAATAACAGCACAACGGACCTTTGAATAATGTGAGTGGGCAGTACCCAGTTTCTGCAAAAATGCGAATTATAAACTACAGGAGGCCCTCTACATATGCGACTTCTCCATAATAGATTCAACTAATCAAGGATAGTGTAGTACTATAGTATTATTATTGAAAAAAAAATTCTTGTATATGTGGACTTGTAGCTCAAACCTGTGTTGTACAAGGTCAGCAATAAAGAAAATAATCCAGTTATCTTGATTCCCAGCCTATTTATGTAGTCTCCAACTGCTTAACTGATACTTCATAAACATTTACTCTTCGTTACTGTTTTTTCAGATTACTTGAGTGTTGGGCATAAAAATATATGACATTAAGTGTGTCCCTCATATACTTTAATCTTCCTTTAAAGAGGAATATATAATAAACATATTTGAGTTAATTTCTAGTAAGTGATGATAGATTTGTATTGAATCATATTTATCCTTTTTTTTCCTATTTTCCTAGGCTCTAAAACTGACAAACTTATAATGAGCCAGGTTTAGGAAACAACTGTTTTTTCCCCTTGAGAAATTTCCTGCTCTTCACAGTTTTTTAACCTCTACTTTACCATTACTACCACTATATTATAAGTGCCCAAGTTAAGTAAGCAAGTATAACATTCAGAGAAAAAGCAGTATGAATTACCTGGCCAAAAGTACACTAACATTTGATTTAAGAACTTGTAGTAAAAAAGAACATTGATGCATAATAGAAAGAGCAGAAGTTTTGAAGATAAACAAACCAGTGCTATAGTCCTGGTTCTACCATTGGCTACAGTATCTGGCACATAGGCACTCAATAAATTTCAGTCTCTTTCTCCATTCTCATTCATTCCTCCCCTCCTCACATTTTTCAAGCTTCCAGTGCCAATGAAGAAATTTAATAATAAGTAAATTAGTGGGCTCAAGTTTAATTAAAGCCAACAACAACTAATATATCTAACCACTCTTAGTCACCTATGCAATAAAAATGAACAGCTGAACTTACTTTCTGACACCTACTGGAGAATTTAATCTGGACATCATAAGCAAATATGTATAGGTACTAACTTTTACAGATATAGTTTCCAAAATTCAGATTAATATTAAAATAGTACATAATTATCCAAAAAGCATAATGTCCTTATATTGGACAGCAGAAGCATTATGCTGTGGAAAATACAAAAGGTTTTGAGTCCTGTTTCAGCTGTGAGTTACTTAACTCTAATAGATGTTTCCTCATCTATAAAAACATGATTATGATATCTACCTTACAAGGGCTTGCTGAGAGATTAGATTATACATGATGTAAAGTGTCCACATGCTTCACCTCAATAGTTAAATAAATATTAGTCCCCTTCTCCTCAATATCTGACTCATCATTTTTCAAAGGCCTTCCTTCAAGGAGTTTCATGTTCCTCCATCCCTTAAGAATGTGGAACAGTTGGATATGATGATGGAATCAACTAGGTCATATTATCTATTAGAGCGAACAGTAAAGAATTTACGTCATGATAACTGGACTTACAACTACTTTAAATTTGAAAACAGAATCAAAACTTCCATTTTATATTGATTTTACACAACTTTTTCCCCTAAGACAAATGCACCAATCAGTAGAGTTAAAGGATCATTTACCTGCTTCCATCGATCAAAGCAACACTAAGGAGAAATGATTTTAAACAACTTAAACTTTACTGATTTCCTCACTAGTCCACCCTGGTTGAAGGGTACTTGCTTGTCTTTTTCCTCTATCATCTGTACTTCCGACTCAGATGATCTAGGAGTAGCCAAGGTAATCATTTCCTCTCAAGAACTATCATTATGGAGCTAAAGAACACATATAACATCCTTCTTGACTTCTTTCATTCATCTTAATTCTGATTATATTTTTAAAGCTGATTTCGTCTTCACTGAGGAAGCAATAATACTACACTTCCTTCAGGTACTTAATTTTTTATATGTGAAAATTAATTTCTCATTTCATTTTCCAATTATTCATTCAACAAATATTTAGCTACCCTGGTGACTCAATTAGTAAAGAATCCACCTGCAATGCAGGAGACACGGATTCGATCCCTGGGTCGGCATGATTCCTGGCGAAGGAAATGGTGACCCACTCCAGTATTCTTGCCTGGGAAATCCTATCGACAGAGGAGCCTGGCGGGCTGCAGTCCATGGGGTCGCAAGAGTCAGACACAACTTAGCAACA